TGCTTATGCAGGGGGTCGGACTCGATGATCTATTGAGGTCCCTTCCGACCCTAACATCTATGAATCTATGAATCTATGGACGGAGGAAGAAACCAAGAAAGAGGGAACATAACTGTGGCCCAGCGAAGATACCCTGTATCTGACATTCCTATGGCTAACTGTAGGAACCTGGATCAGCCTTGAGAGGCACCAAGGTCTGCTTATTCAATGTATAGGAAGCATATGTGCCTAATCCTGTTAATTAGGAGACAGAGTCCTGGGGCAAGTGCTAAAATTGTAGGCATTCCAATGTTTTAGCAGAAGTGCCTTCAAGGTCATTTAAGGATATGACTCTTAATGCCTTGTCTGTCTTGAGAATGCCTGGAGTGCTGGGAATGTTACTGTAAACAATTAATAATTACTGTATATGTTACCACTCAAAAATGCATATTGGAAAAGAAGCTGTATACAAGCATACAATTACATTATAAAAGTTGCTATTTACTTATTAACCTTTACGCTTCCATCTACTTATTACTCCTCCATTTCCTTTTTAACCTCTACTCCTCCATCTGGGGAGGAATATAGTGATAGAATGGTTCAGGTATCTGACTACAGGCAGTCCTCGCACTTACAGCAGGTTACCTTCCTAGAAAAGGCGCTGTAAGTTGAAACTATGCAAGTCAATTCTGATTTTCCCATAGAAACAATGTTATAATAGGGGATAACATTCCTGACCAAGGGCCCTTGGTCAGGAACGTAACCCAATTTTTTATAGATATTTAAATCAATTATTTAATCAACTATAAATGATATACACTGATAGATGATATACACTGTAGAAAGCTTTTTAAAGTGCAATGCGGTAACTAAGGGAGGCACTGGGGCCAGCGTGGGACACTTACTGAAGGTAAGCTCCTCAGTCCTCCTGCAGGGCAGGCAGCGGCTCCTCCCTGAGGTGAGGTGAGGCAAGGACAGGGACAGGGGCTGGCGCAGGCTCCACCAGCTCCGGGGAACTGCTCCACTTTCCAGCCCCAATGCCATGTGCCTCCCCGCTCCCAGAGGCATAAAAAGGCAGGGACAGGGGCTGAGAATTGCTCTGCAGGCTCCACTGGCTCCATGTGCCTCCTTGCTCCCCGAGGTGATGTGAGGGGCATGGAGCAGTTTCCTGGAGCCGGCGGAGCCTGTGCCAGCCCCCAGCCCCCATCTCTGCCTCACCATGCCTCTGGGAGTGAGGAGGCACATGGCATCGGGGCTGGGAAGCGAAGCAGTTTCCCAGCACCAGCCCCCAGCCCCTGTCCCTGTCTCACCTCTGGGAGCACATGGCCTTGAGGAGGAGCCGCAACTTACCTTTAGTAAGTGTCCCACGCCGGCCCTGGTGCCTGAGCCGTTGCCTGCCGTAAGTGCGAGGATCAGCACCATAAGTAATAACAGGGGTGTAAAATGCGGAGCGCTGCAAGTCGAGCAGCCATAAATTGAGGACTGCCTGTATAGCACTTCAAAAGAGTTCAAGCCCTGGTTTGTATTCCTGCCAAAGGCTGCCCACACCTGGCCCAGCTATAAATGGATACTGCATCATTCAGATGTATAAGCTGGCCAGATATAAAATACTAGTCACATCACTTCTTTGTATGCCAGTTGACTATACAAACTGGTGTACCTTAACCACACTAGCCTAATGAGCTGTTAGACTTGGATTATGTTGTCAAATTTATCACAAGTAGAGACAGTATAAAACGCCAACAAGAGCATCCTTTTTACTGTCAAAATTATTTTGAACTATATGAAATGACCAATTAAAAGTACCTTGAACTTAGGCCATTTTTATAAGTGTTGGAATTTTATTGGAAAAGACAAAAAATATTTGTAGAAAAAAAATCAGTCTGCCAAACAAATCCTTTTGACCAATTTTGCTCTGATTTAGTGTCACCTATTTTATAATTAAATAATTAAGCCTGATGTATAGCTAGTAACTTCCCCAAATAAGTTTCCCAGGTAACTTTGGGGAACAGCCTAGAAGTTTTTTCCTATCCAGATGCAATAGTTTGTAGTCCCATACCTAAAGTTATAATTATTTTTTAATATTCTAATAGGACAATATTATTCCATGGAACCGTACCTCAGCTTTTTTGTCATATGCTGCATCTGTAAGATAACTTGTCCTAACTGATAGATGTAAGGGTCACAATTCTGCTATCTTCAGTAATTCATTACATTAATATTATTAAAACATCAAACTATAAATTTAACATTTCATGCTTCTCAGTCTTTATATGAAACAAATCGGTTAAAAGAAAAAGCAAGGTAGCATAATTAAGATATTAAACAAAAATAACTAAAATGAACATAAAAAAATGCTACTAACCCAAAGCATGGACTGCTCCTCTATGTTTCTTTGAGCTCTTGCCGGTATTAACTATATGTAGAGTGTCTGCTTTGAACTGCAATTCATAAAGTCTGTCAAGAAGAATTTTAATTTCTTCTGTGATGGTATCCAAATAAGTTTCATTAATAAACTTCAATGTTGAGGATGGATCCATAATTCCACTCAGCATACACAAATCTTCTTTTACCATTGTGAACAGTATGGGTATTGAACTTTGATAACCACAAGCCACCTTATCAAGATCGGTTTCATCACACCTAGCTAGAACACTATTCTGTAGAAGTTCATTAACAAGTTTATTCTGCATCTTTTGGTATTTGCTTAAAACTTCTGTTTCAGGATAAAAAAACAAAAGTTGTTGTATGCATTGAGTTTTAAACTGGATTTGCTGTTGTGAAGTACTAGTGTTTGTTTCATAATGACTCTGCAGTTTGCTCACCAAGAAACGTCGAAGATGTAGTCTAACATCATCCCAAAGAGACTGAACATCCATAGATGAATCATCCTCAATGGCATGAAGGGAAGCTCTGGGTGTAAAATCAAAAGATGTTCCACTTGGAGTACATGGAAATGATACACCACACTGACTGGAGAGATCTAGAAGAAAGTGAACTACCATTTCTTCTTGATTTTGTTCATTCTTCAGCAAACTTTGCTAATAAAAATAAGATACAGTTTTAGAAATGTTACGTGCAACCCAGCTTGATAAAATTAATTCTTTTTAACAAGATAAAAAATATTAATTGCTAAATACAAAGTGATTATTTATGTCCTCCTTTAATTCTCTTAAGTTCCTAAATGCCAGTGCAGACATTGAGTAAAAATGAACCTACTAGTGAACACAGACAGGAAAATGCTATTTTTCTGATATCAAATTCTGGATGACTTTGCTTACTTAAAGATTCCCTGCACAGTAACAAATATAAATATCTCTAAAAAATACACAAGGACATTTTCAGAAACTGAACACAATTCAATCATCATGGCAAACTATGTAATAGTGTATTATCTGCACTGGCATACAAGGGCTTGCAATAACCAAATAAAAAATGAAGAATATTCTATCGCCTTCCTTCTATGTTTTTTCAGATTGTACACATTGTAAGGACATAAAATAGCACAAAGAAATACAGCAACTGATGACATAATATGTATGCAGAAACTACCCACCAGACAACACATGAGAGATTGCAACAACAACATACATAATCAAATTTGCAACAATCAAATCTGAAATAGTGTACATAAGAATATCCGTATTACTGTGACTGTGAAATATTTGATTTATGAAAAGTATGTTTTCAACCAAACCAAAAATTTCAACAGAATAAAATTAAATTGATTGAAATTTCAAAGAAAAGAAAAACTGATAAAAACTGACATTTGGTCAAATGTTTTCTAATTAAATATTTTTAGAAATTTTAAATAAATTGATTAAATGTGTAATTAATAATTTATTAAAATTACATTATTTGGGGATTTTTGGTTAAAAGTAATTAAAAAAAAGGGAAAGTAAAAAGGGGCAAGGACACTTTCATTATATCTTTTACTGGAACAACTCTATAGTAAGTAGGGAGAGATCTTAGACAAGTTTTCAGGCAAATGCCTGAGGATGGGATGATTCCAGCTCTAGGGTCAGTTCCAGCTGCAGGAGAATGCCTTCAGAAAAACAGTAACCCTGGAGCTTTGCACGGTATAGGAGACAGACCACGGCACTATTCTCCAAAGCCAACTCTAGTCAATGCCTGTTTAACATACTAAAGGACATGTAAGGGTTGTTGGTTGTAGCAGTGTTGGTCTAAGGACATAGGCAAGCAAACAAGGCTCTTTGGGTAGACGTGCTAGCCTTTATTAAACCAAGTAAATAGTTGGAAATATTGATCTTTGCATGCTTTTGGGCACAAACACTTCTTCAAGCATAGGAAGAGTCTGGTGTTGTTTTGTGTGGTCTCCTGGATAGAGTAGAATTGAAACTGAAGTGTTACTTCATCACTGCACAACAACCAGTTGGAGCTAAACCTTAGGTATGCTCTGTCCAACTGCCATGAGAATTGTGTGAGTTGAGAATTATTCAACAAGTTTTTCCCCCCCCATCATAAATCTGATGCATCAAAACTCTTTGGTGGAAAGGGTCACTGGTTTTGATTAATTTCTCATTTAAAAAATGAAGTTTCAAAATTATTGAAATGTTCCATTTTGACATTATCTAAATGGAAAATATTCAATTTTCTGGTTGAAAGAACTTTATTTAAAATTTAATTTATAGTTAAAACATAAAATAATACACATCAAAATGAAAACAAAGCAATTCAATTGGCTTGATTTGTGTAGAATGACTGATATGCCACATCAGAGGTGACCAGGCTTAATGAGGAATCTTTTAATATTTCCCTTAGGGATAAGTTGAAGGAAAGTATTAAAGCCAGTGGATAGTGACAAGCCTATATCCATAGGCGATGCGTAGGGGGCGCATGGGGTCACTCTCAGTTTAGGCGATGGGCAGAGGGCACGCAGAGCGCTGGTGTCCCCCTCCCCCGGAGAAGTGCAGCTGGCACTTCCAGGCTCAGTGTCTGGGCGTGGGGGACCATCCTGCACCTGCAGATGGTCCCTGCTCAGCCCGCTCTTGCCGCCAACACCCACGTAGCCAGCTGCGGGCGGTCGCAGTGCCTCCCCAGCCTCAGAAGGCACACGTCGCCTATGCCTATGTCAACAGTATATCAACACTTTGCATTACTCTGGAAATAAATGTAAAGTTCTGGTATTTTAAAAGATAACTTTACAAAACAACATATATAAACAATGGGTAAAATAATGAACAAAGCTCATTATTGAAACGATTTTAAATAAAATATCATGATTAAATCAACTGAGTAATGACAGTAAATGTATGAAAGTACTAACTATGGACACTAAAGGTCAGACTAATAATTTCACTCAGATTGACTAATATCTACATCAAACATGGTTCCCATTTAAGACAATTAAACTATCTGTGGAGTAAATTATTAGCCACTGTAGGCAAAAGAAACGTAATCAGTAACAAAATATCGATATTCCTAACTCTACTTCTAGTCCTACCTGTACAATTAATGTGGTGGACTATTTGCTGAGGAGCTGGGAAAAGCTCTCCAGAAGCTCACCTGGCTGGGTCTGGCAGGATTCTGAGGGCTTTTATGACACAATGCTGTAGATTGTGATATGCAAGTGTGCTCACAGTTGGCTTTGGGCATTATGTTGGGTGACATACTTTAAGGCTACTGGGAAATGGAGGAGCCTAGGAAGTATATTTTGATTCAGAAATACCAAAACATGTCCATTATGAGTATTTCCTAAAAGATGTAGAATTCCATTTCCACGCAGCTCTTGAAGTTTGGTTTTTCAGCTCAGTCCTACACATTTTTTCCCCAAACTCTCAAATTTTGCATGGATGTGAAATTTGGTTTCCTGACCAGCCATAGTTGCCATATTTACTAGAGGGAAAGCTGCAGGTCTATAAGAAGGGTGCTTGTACCTAAAAGTTTGTCAAACTTATCTTCCAACCATATGGTGGTCCAGTAAAAGATATTAAAAACCTTGCCTCTCATAACTAGGATGACAATTTTTTTTTCCAGGAGACAGAGCAAACAGTAATGGGTTTAACTGAAACAAAGGAGATTTAAATTACATTTTAAGAATTTTTCTGAGGGTGATTTAATTATTGGAACTGATGGTTTAATGACTGTTTATGTTTATTTAAACAGATTTTGGAAAGTCTGTCATTGTCTAATGTTCACTTAAACCTCCACTAATCATTCATCTGAGACGTTCTATAACTTGTCATAAGCAGGTCTATCAGTGATGTTCAATCTGAGGTAGCACAAGTGTGATATCCTCCCTCCACTGCCACAAATTTGCCCAGTCTAGACACAATCAATGTGTTGCCAAAAGACCACCACCATCTATAACAGATTAAATGAAAGAATATTAAACTTTGAATTTCTTAAGAATTCCAGAAAATATAGTCTGGTGACTAGAAACTGGGGTGGCATGGGCACTAAGGTACACAGTTGACTACCCAGAGGTTGCAGCTTCAAGGCCATAGCAGAAGTGCTCATGGCACAGTCCTGCCAGATTTCATGAATCTTTGAATTCTACTAAATACCTTGTCACAAGGACATGAAAAAGGAAAGGACTCTGGTGAAACCTTAATGAAATGACTAATAACTAATAGCAGAGAAAAGAGACTTTTTAGAAAAAGAACAATTTTAACAAGCATATCAAAACTTCAGTTGTGGGTTTTTTTTTACCAGGGTCTTAAGGAATTCAATCAACTCTCCATTAGGTGTAGAAGAAGGTTTGAGAGAACTGAAATTATTTAGCCACTGAAGGCAGCCAGTTGTATTTTGCAATAGCTCATCAATACACATTTCATTTACTTCTGACTGTAGATCTTTAAGACAGTGTTCCATGCTAAAAAAAGAAAAAAAAGGTATAAATAATCAAATAATTTTTCACTTCTTCAAGATTATAGTATTTGTATATATTGACCGCATCCCCACATGTAGGTATATATGTTTTGTGGTGCCACAAACCTCTTTGGTGCCACAAACTGCATGCATGGAATGTTAAAGCATGCCCTGTACTGCAAATTTGCAGCACTGGGGCAAAATTTGCTATCAGGATTTCCCGGTAGCTAAAACATCCCCCAGAAAAAGCAGCGGCATGGAGCACACTACAATAGCGTGCGCTGGAACACATGGAGCCTTGGTCCTCCAGAGAGATAGATACTCTGGCTGCTGGCCAGAGTGTCTCCACTGCATTTGTGCCCCAGCTGCTCTAGCACACCAGAAGCCAGGAGGAGATGTGCAATAGCAGTTTACCCAAAGCGGGACACAGTGTCCCACAAAGTTCACATGCAGGGGTGTGTGCTGCAACACAAAGTAGTGACACAAATTTGTGCCATTACTATTTGAGAGTAATGCACATCTGAACATGGCCATTACATTTTTTTTACACTATATTTATTTAACAGTGTACGTTAGCTTGTGTCTGACAGAAACTTAAAGTTCACTTGGTATGAGATCTGAACCTACAGGACTAAATGTTCAAATGTAGTGGGATGACATCAGCAGTAAATTTTCTTATGGCTAACATCTACCAGCCATGCTCAGAGCAATCTTTATCTTGGCTCCTCAAATAAACGTATATTATCCAATGAGAGCTCTTACACAAGAAGGCATCACTGAACATAAGCATTCGAAGATGAATGTGACATTCTGCTTCTGCAGCAATCAACAATTGTTTTATAACATATCATATATACTAACAGCTTCTTACAGACCCACTGACACCCTACAGAAAACGCTGAAAAGAATGTTTAGAGTCAGTTGTGCTGAAACAGCAAATCTTTTCTTTTCTTTTTTATCACTAGAACATTTGAATGAAAACAAAATATTTGTTCCTTAGGAGTTGATCTGCTCCTGCTCCTTATTCTTAATTTAAAATAACAATCCCGTTTGTGACATCACACATGCTGGCTATAGAAATGAAGATGACATTGGGTTGGGAGAAAGCAGCAGAAACAGTTGAACTCTTAAGATAACAAAGATGCTGTTTTCCATTAAAAATTTCCTATAAATGTCTCTAGACATAGGAAGGGAAGATTTCCTAGAAATAAACCCATATTTATATTGCAAATACTTTTATCTTATGTTACAAATCCTTGTGCAAAGGATTTTCTCTGTCTATAAAGACAACATTTAATATAGTTTCAGTTAAAGATGATATAAGTTTAACACTGTCAGGACAAGCAATTAAGTAGAATCTAGTTTTATCCAAAACAGATGCGATTAATACTGTACAGAAGATTTCAGTTTGGAATGTCATTGACTGCATTTATTTATTGTTTTATATAAAAGTCTAGCAACTGCAGTTAAAGAATATTATATTGAGAGCAAATTAAAATTTAGGCTTTTAGAACCGAGAAGAAATATGTATTTTCCTTTCTATTGGATTTCTTATAAGAGGCACTGCTTGTTTTTCTCCTCTTCATTTCTTACATGATAAACATGAAAAGACTTTATTATTTATTTCTCTATTCTGATCAACAGCAGTTATATCATTTGTTCAGCACTGGAACTAGCTATAGCTAAATGAATAGGCATAATTAAAACAAGTTGACAGATAAACAGTAACAAATGCTTTGCTGTTCCTTGTTTCCTTTAAAAAAGTGGGGTGGGTGGGAAGGGAAAGGTTAGCAATGTCTTTGCTCAAAAAGATTTGTAACTCCAGACGATGTATGCTCTCAAAGCTTAACACTTTGGGCTTATACTACTTTTCCCTCAAAAGACTTGTAATAAGTAAAAGTGTCTGGTTGAATAAACATGAAATGCAAAAGACAATTGTAACTACATTAATTTCTGAACTACAGTAAGATCTTGGAAGTAAAAACAAAAATAAAGACATATTAGACAAAATATCTCTCCGAATAACTCTCATCATGTCACTTTAGAAAAATCAAAATTGTCAACTCTGTTCTTCTACAACAGTTCACTTTTCCGTAACTAATTGTCAGCATCTCTGTATTAAGGACTGCAAGAATGTGTGTTATACACTGAAGGAATGAGAACAGCTCAGAATGCACATACTCTATTAAATGAAGATGCCAAGTTTTACAGGTGTATCATACTTAAAAAAAAACAAAAAAACCCTAAGTGACTAAAACCAGTTCAAAATTAAAAGTCTCTTTAAAATTAACCATCTGCGGGTGGCCTATAAAACACTCTATATAAAAGGTGAAGTAAAGGTCTTTTCGTGAAAACTGAGCATGAGTGAATTCAAAATGAAGTGCACTGAAAAAAATATCTCCTCAGTATCAAAGGGCCTTTCATGAGCACAATGGACTTCCATGAAAAACAATCTCTCTCTGCCTGTGGCCCACTCAGTTTCCTGATGGGATACCCACCCCATGAATACCTCTTCTAAACAAGACAAAAGATTGGCATGCATCTTCTAAAGTTGTATAAGGTGTTCCCAAGACATGAAACCTAATGCCCTGCCCAAATACCTTAGGTCTTGGGATACTTTATCAAAGGTTTTATTGTAGTATTCTGATGCGTCTCATTCAATCCTACCTAATAGATTACAGCATTGTGAATTGTAAAGGCTTTACTGTTTTTAGTTTATCTGCTTCATTTAGAGCCAGTTTTTAGGCTAATCTTTGACATCTGAATCTGGGTGCTAGCCAATAAAAAACAAACCATCAGTAGGTTAAAGCCTTCACAAGACTAGATATTTTAGTAATTTGTCCTAACACTGATAAAGGGATTAGGCAGATGAATTTCAGTGGACCTCCCTGTAGGTACTAGCCATGACAGCGTCATTCAGTTTTTTTCAATCCTTTTATCCTAGTAAAATAAACAACAATGTATGCCTAAAATGGTATGTCTGTACTAAATAAAAAAAAAACTTTTGCATACTTTAGCTTACATGTTGTACTTGGCCAGTATTTTTAGATATTACAATCTCTTTACAAGATTTTTTAAAGATCCTTTGTGTTTATTCAATTATAATGTCTATTCCATTGCAAAAAATAGATTAAATAAATTATTTAGGAATTAGGATACCAATTGCCACTCAATTTGTGCACATTTTCAGGTCTGGAATAAATCAATTTAATTACAAGCCTTCTGTCAAACTGCAGTCAAGAAAACAGGATTTCAACTATTCTAAAATTATGCCTAAAAATACAGTCCTAGCTTTTGATTTCCAGTGTTTTAATAATGAAATATCATTTTCAATTTGCTAAAGACATGAAATCCTTACAAAATAGCTATATGGAATTGTGACAGAAAAACAATCATGTAAGGATTTCATAACTATAACTTTAAAATTATAAGTCACGTAATGTCACGGTACTGAACTGAATAAAGGATTTTTTTTAAAGAATTTAACTGCTTTTAAACCAAGGACAAATATTTAACTCTACTTCCCAAATGAATAAGGAATGTACATTAGATAAAACACGTGAGCTGAATAAGTTGTGTTTACACAAACCTAGACTCTAACCCTATGGCTCTAACCTGGCTGGGCGGAGGTAAGGGAACATGGTCCAGCCCTGCGGTGGGGAAGAGAAGGGGGCATAGACTGTCCCCTAATCAGCTGCACAGGGGGAGGGGGAGAGGTCCAGCCATGTGGGGAGACAAGGGTGCTGCCCATCCCTAATCTGACCACGCATAGGAAAGTGGGATATGGGGGCATGGTTCACCCCAACCCATAACTTGGGATTTTGGCAGCAGCGAGGGGTGGTAATATTCACCGCCACTGCTTCCCGCCACCAAATTTCCCAAGCTGTAGGAATCCCCACAGGCCAGATTCCAAGGCTCCACAGGCAGCATTTGGCCCACAGGCTGGCAGGTAAGCACCCCTGCCATCTACCAGGCAAAAGATAGGGCAGAGTGGCACCTTAGAGACTAAGTTTCAAGGAGATGTAAACTTTCATAAGCAACAGCCTACTTTGTCAGAAGTTAAACTGCACAAGATTCTTGTACCCATGAAGACCTGATTTTATACCCAGAGCTTATATCCACGTGAGTATCAGGAATAACCCCTCGCCCCGTTCAAAGAATGCTACAATTTTTAGCAAAACAATTACATAATGAATGTTTCTACAGTGTTTTGAAGATAAAAACACTACTTTAAGTGCTATTATGTTGTTATTGCATACAATGATATGTTAAGAAACCTGCCTGCTAAGAAAGTCACAAATCTAATTGATTTTATGGAAACATATCTTATCATTTCTGAATTACAGGTGTCAAAGGACCTGCTTTAAATGATGAGTACTATGAGATCTCCAGGGAAAGACATTTAGTAGAATAATTCTTGCAGGTACTTTCCTTATTATGCTTCCCCCATGTAGGAACAAAAATATATTTTTTTGTTTTAGGAACTACAAGATGGAAAGAAAAAAAAAAGCAGTCAGGACGGTATGATACAGGAAGAATAGTATCAGAAACCTGCCAGGCAGGAAAAATAAAGAAAATGCTCCATGATTAATAGGCAATTGAAAAGAAGGTTGTTAATGCTTCAGTACTGCTGCCTGATAAATATAGCCATTTATCCATAAAAGTTATTTCTCTGGGACAATCAACTAATTAAAATTTTTGGGTAGGATCTAAATGAAAAATCATAAAGAGATTCATCAAGTAATGATTTCAATAACTGGACTTATGCAAAATATGAGATTTTACAAGATATGGTTCTTGCTTATATGCTTTCAGTTTAAAATATTCCTGGAACCTTCACTATTTGTGATAACCTGTGAGTTATTTTGGTGATGCAATTTGGCTTTGAGAATTTTCAGAGCTTGGAAAGAGATTAGATTAATATACCTTCAGCTTTATAATGCTTACTGTTCCATCTTATTTAATTAATAGTTTATTTTAGGTGAATGATTGATATAACATTTT